GGGGGGGGGGGGGCTGGGTGCATATAATGCTTTACTTGTATGTTCTTGACTTGGTCTTTCTTTAAGATATCTGTATTCCCTATGCATAGTTTGAGGAAATGTTAAACTACAAGTCTACCTTTACATATCATAACTGAGGTATTTGGCCACCTGGTAGGGCAGAACATGAATATTAGCATGCACCCACTGCCTGCTTCTTCCTCCTAAAATGTTTACTGTTGTCACATTGATTGGACAACAGGCTCAATTAAAATGACAGACCTTTTTTTCTCAGCTCACTTTTCTTATAGAACCCGTTGCTGCTTGCATATACACAGTTGGACCCCTTACAATAGCCACATGATCAGCAGAAATATGTCCTGTTAAATATGCAATTGGGTACATAGAAAATGTTTAAAGTTTTTTTTTTTCTTTTTTTTTCCTGTGAGAACATGATCTAAAAGTTACTATATTGTCACTGAAAAATATTTGATCCCTTTTTTTATAGTTTAGTCCCAGCTCAGATTATGATTGCACATTGATTTTATGATGAGTTATGCATGAAAAATTGTAAGCCAAAGAAAAGCAGGACAGATGGAATGATCTAGAAGGGGTGTATGTACATAGTAACAGGGGGTTGGTCACAAAACAAGGCTGTTGTAGTCTCTGAATAAACTATTTTGTATAAGAATAAGTATACTGGTGCACATACTGACTTTTGGAAAGTTGGTAATGACATAGTAAAGTCAGACTAAAGCTATTATGAGGCACTGTATGGTTCAGGCTTGCTACGCCATGCTACCCTTAGCTTGATTGTTGCAACAAAAGTGTTTCTTAACCACTAGATTACCTTTTTTCTCTCCCGTTCATTGAAGGACACAGGGAACAGATCGGAGATCATGTACTGTAGGGTAATATCGCCACCTGCAGGAGAAGGACGCTAGGCACAAAAAAACTAAAGACCAATTACAGCCTAGGGGCGGCCCCTGCCGGTGGCCAAACCTCCCACCTGCTGACAAGTCTCCAGTTTTTTGCCTAGCGTCAGGAGTAAGGAGCTAAGAATTTTCCTCGGTATTCTTACCTGCTTCTTCCTGATTTTTTTCAGAGGATTCTTCTAGCAAGTGTTGTCCGGGCGACAGGCTGGATGTCTCGGATCCTTGGAGTCTCCCCTGGATGACCAGCGAGCGTATGCAGGCCCGCTACGGTGGGTCGGCTACGACGGCCCCGCTCCGGCGGGGTGGCCTATTCGCCTTCCTTTCGGGATCCCTCGGATAGGAAGGCGGAGGCGGTGGCGCGTACTATGTACTCGGTTTCCGGGGCTCTGCTGTGCCCCGTGTTGGCTTCGGCCTGGTCTCCCAGACTTTGACTGAGTGGATGAAGATCCTGCGTCAGGGTCTTATAAGCAGGAGACACGTTCTCCTCCACGTCGATCTGACGGAGCAGGTGGTGCAGGGTCTGCAATACTTGTGTAATTCGGCCCTGGATGCGGCCCTGTTGGTTTCCAAGCTATCTGTGTCGGCGGTTACTCTTCGGCGCCTCCTCTGGCTTAAATGCTGGTCGGCTGACCAGGCTTCCAAGAAGGCTCTGACGGAGGTCCCCTTTACGGGGGAGCGTCTGTTCGGGGCTACCTTGGATGAGATCATGACGGGCGGTAAGAGTATCTTTCTACTAAGGTTTTCCCTTACGTTCCTTTTTTTGATGATTTTGTCTACAAGGAGTGGAAGCGCCCGAGCAAGTAGTTTACCATTCCCAAACGCTTCTCGGTTCGCTATCCTTTTTGAGTTGTCGCATTCCTCTCTGGTGACGGATCTGACGATCGCCGTCCGGTCATTGGAGGAGTTCGGCTGGCTCCTGAACTTCCAGAAGTCCTGCCTGGTACCGAACACTCGGTTGGAGTATCTGGGGTTGATTCTGGACTCCACCTCGGCGCGGTTTTTTCTACCCCCAGAGAAGCTTCTGAAGCTTCGCTCGCATGTGGCACTACTGCTGACACGTCGATGGTCAACGATCCGGTCTTGCATGCAGGTCCTGGGCCTCATGGTGGCTTCCTTCGAAGCGGTGCCTTACGCTCAGCATCACACGCGGGTTCTGCAGAGGACCATATTGTCGCGGTGGGACAAGTCCCCCTTGTCGCTGGACCGGGCGGTCCGGTTGTCTTGGGAGGCGAGGGCCTCCCTGGTCTGGTGGCTTCGGTCTCCGTCCCTGGTGTTGGGCAGTTCTTCCTTCCCATTCACTGGACGGTGGTCACCACGGATGCCAGCCTGTTGGGCTGGGGGGGGAGTCCTGGACATTTGGACGGCTCAGGGCCGTTGGTCGTTGGAGTCTCGGTTTTCGATCAACGTGCTGGAACTTGAGGCGATCCGTCTCTCTTCTTCATTGGACGGACCGTCTTCAGGGACGTCCGGGTTCAGTCGGACAACGCCACGGCCGTGGCGTACGTCAACCATCAGGGCGGCACAAGAAGTGTGGCCGCGGCTCGGGAAGTGGAAAGCATTCTATCTTGGGCGGAGGTGCATGTTCCGGCTCTCTCCACCGTGTACATTCCGGGCGTGGACAATTGGCAAGCCGACTATCTCAGTCGCCAGTCAGTGGACCCGGGGGAATGGATGCTACATCCGGAGGTGTTTCACCAGCTCTGTCTTCGCTGGGGGTTCCCGGACGTGGATCTCCTGGCGTCTCGCCTCAATCGGCGGGTCGATCGGTTCGTGGCCAGGACCCAGGATCCTTGGGCGGATGCGGTGGACGCCCTGATGGCTCCGTGGGATTGCTACGGTCTGATTTACGC